ACATTTTGATTTATTTATTTCTTATTATATTTATCATATGATCTTGATTCATTATATAATTCTATTTTTTGTCAAACTTATAAGAAAGAATCCGAGAAAAAAGAATTCAAATGCTGAGAAAGTAGTCAAAATTATTTAATTATATGTAATTTTATTTTATTTTATTCTATTTTGAATTATTTAAAAAAATACATTTTGATGGTTGAGTAAAATTTTTTGATAGGATAATCAAAGGATATTTTTTCTTTTTGATGCAAGGGTCAAAACAATTAATTAAATTTTTTTTTTTTTTTTTTTAATAACGAATGACATTTATTATAAAAGCTTAACAAATAAATCGTACTGCGATAGCATTAAACATTAACACATTTGCAATAAAATAAATTAAATAAATTAAATAAATTAATTAAATAAAATAAAATAAATAAATTCTAGACAATTAAATTGACACATTGACAGAACAGAACTTTACTGAGTAGGACAAATACTACGAACTTCTTGTTCCTCATAATCAGGAGAAGAATAATTATTATTATCTTGTGAATCATCAACATAGTCTCTTATGGGTGTAAAAATAACCAAACCAAATTTATAATTTTCGGATAAATCATAACGTTTGAATTGTTTATAATAATCCTCAAGTTCTAATTGTGATGAGATGGTAATAACATCACCTTCTTCATCCGTATAAGTTAAACCTGGAGATACTGAAGATGGAATTGAAAATGCTTCACGAACTTTTAATTCCAATTCGAGCCATGTTGGTTTTTCTACTTGCATAGTAAAACGACGAGTTATCGTTTGATTGGATATTTTGAAAACTGATAATTGTGTATTTTCATTATTGTCATTTAAATTTACGTCGGTTAGAGGGGATGGTGGTGTTGATGTTGGAGAAGTCGGAGGAGTAGTAGTGGATGAATTAAACATTATTATAGAGCTTTATCAATATTTTGTAAAAACTTGAAAGATGAAAAAAAAAAAATTACAGGTTTTAAAAATGTAAGACAAGAATTTATTCAAAATAGTGCAAAAAAAAAATTCCATTTGGTTATAAATTTCCGAAAAGATCAAAAAAAGGAAATTCTTGCGAAATCATGTGAAACATAAATCATAATTACCAATTATAGTCAGATTGTATAACTACCCCTAAGGTTGCGCTTTTTTTAAAAAAAAAGATCCTGAATCGATTTGGCATTTCTTAAAAGGGTATTACGAATTTTTCATGGATTGTCTCAGATACTTTACATATTAAGAATGGAGATTCTGAAAGATGTTTCTATACTCAAACTTCTTGTGGCGCTGAACATACAAAATGATTGACTGTGGCAAATTTTGAATTTATTTAAACCTGAAATTTGAATTACTTCTAACAATAAATTCAATTTAGCATTACAATCCCCAATTTATTTACTTGATTGACAGATTCATCTTTACAAAAAAGAAAAAAGAATAGAAAAGAAAAGAGAAGAGAAGAGAAGAAAAGAGAAGAGAGAGCTCAGCATAAATCAAATTGATCGGCACAATAACATTTGGTTCTAGATAAATTTGAGTTTATTGTGTAATTAATTAGTATAGTTTGAGAAAAATATAAAAGTTTGGCGTTATGTATTTTCTACCTTTTTCTTTCAGACTCTTTTAAATGTATATATTGTATATATTAAAATGGCCATAGAGTTCTTCCCTGGACTTTCTAAAAACTTTTCTCTATTGCTTGGTGGTGATGCAGATGATTATGATGTTACCATCAATGTTGGAAAAGGTTCGAATGCTAAAGAATTTCGTGCACACTCCAATA